TGATACGAAATAGATCCAACTAGCCCACCTTTGAATCCAGGGGAGCCCAATGTTGAATTGTACCCATTTAATGTCACTAAGTCAAAATGGTTTAATGTCTCCCCCACAATTGAATCGAGGGGAGCCCAATGTTGAATTGTTCCCGTTTAATGTCACTAAGTCAAAATGGTTTAATGTCTAGCCCACCTTTGAATCCAGGGGAGCCCAATGTTGAATTGTTCCCATTTAATGTCACTAAGTCAAAATGGTTTAATATCTAGCCCACCTTTAAATCCAGGGGAGCCCAATGTTGAATTGTTTCCATTTAATGTCACTAAGTCAAAATGGTTTAATGTCTCCCCCACAATTGAATCGAGGGGAGCCCAATGTTGAATTGTTCCCATTTAATGTCACCAAGTCAAAATGGTTTAATGTCTAATTTAGCAATATAGCAGTCATATCACGACTGGGGACATAAACATTTGGCTCTCCACATTTTACCAGTATGGTGAAGTAAACATTGGTCTTAGGCTCAGTAGGTTAACCACTGGGTACAAATACAAGTCACCCCTTGCGCCTTGAGGACATTGGAGTGAGTGAGTGAGTGAGTGAGTTGGGTTTAACGCCGCTTTTAACAGTATTCCAGTCATATCACGGCGTATCAGCTTAATGTGGGAGGAAAGCCCGAAGTGATGCAGGTCTCAGACGTTTACCACTTCGGTGAAACCCACAAGCACGGGTAAGGGGCTGACAAACCTAGAAACATAATTCGAACCCACAATCATAGGTTTCTGGTGTGCCCAAGGGACGCAACTCTGCACAGCGAATCGCAGCGCCTTAGATGACTGGGCCACCCGTGCCCCCTGAGGACATTGGAATAGGAACCACCAAAAATATTAAGCCAAACCAAATATCGCACATGGAGAATTTCTCAAATTCTTTAATCACCATAACAAAAACCCAACCAAATCACACATCTAAACTGCAAACAAAAGACTCAACTTGTAAGACATCTAAGCTAACACTTAACAACATCGCAACCCAATCTCGATGACATGTCGGCAAGTTACACAACTCAACAATTTCTCCCCTGCCAGATTAAGGAAGCAGGCAGTGTGTGGGTAACATGCAATTACTGCTGGGCGACATGGCTACGGAAGTGGATTTAGGCCACTTTGATGTTAGGCGGAGAAGATGACTGTGAGGACTAGACTGTCACAGAAGGTAAAGATCACAGATACACTCACAGACTCTGCAACCAATCACGCCAAGTTCTACGTTTTGTGGAAAGCTGGTTTTGCTCTGTAACGTCACCTTGGTGTGGCGGTTTCAGGCACCATCATAGGAAGTGATGGGTAGGGGAGGTTTCCTGTCTTCAAGTGCAGAGTAAATCCAAGAAGAGAAAGTTTGATAAACTTTTACTGTCTTTTTCTAAGACGAGGAAGACATAAATTGTATATGATCATAACAAAGTGAAATGTTTTGGGTTATTAAGGTTCTTTAAAAAAATTGCAATCTTACTACTACCACTACCCAAGCAGATCATAAGAGGCGACCTAATTGGGTTGTCAGGCCGAGACTAGGATTGGGTAGACTTGGTTGAAAGCATACCCCAACTCTATGGATTGTTGCTCACAATATCAATCACTGGATTGTCTGATCCTGATTTGATTGCTTACAGACTGGAATAAAGCTTTTTGTGGCATTAAACTACAAACAAACAAACAACAATAATTACTACAACAACTACCACTGCTACTACTCCTACAACAACAACTACTACTACTACTACAATCTGTGTCTGAACTAACTGCCGCCTGCTATCCTGTAGCGGGACAGTTGAGATAGGTGACCTGCCCGGCTGTTTAGCAGAAAAATGTCAGCATTTTTTATTGTCCTTATTTGGACAGTCCATGTAGATTTAATGTTTCACAAAAAATAAATGCCTTACTGCAAATCACACATGAATTTTGTTCTAGATTCATGTTAACATTGCCTGGTTCATAAACTTAAGAAGCATACATCCCATTGGAATATCTCAGTAAATCAGACCAATCATAGTAGTGGTTACAACCGATGAATTCCCCTTCCAAAATAACTTGTATACTCCCCAGGGAGCAGAGAATGAAAATCGAGTGTACACTGATCCATTGACCGGGGTAATAATACTGTAGCACCATGAGTATGTGAAGTATAAACACTGTTAACCATTCAATCAGAAAGATACAATTCGTGAAGCAAGAAATAAATTCAACACAATTTAACTGTGTTAAATATTTCCCAACCAGAGCACACAATCTCTCTGAAAAATGTGAAGCGAAAATCAATTTCATCCCTCAAGGTCAAGTATCTGAGTCGGTGACTGTAACAAAGATGAAGGCATATCTGGTGCCACGCCATTGTTTAGAGGGCTTTGTAATCAAAGGAGTCCAGACAGTAGGCTCATTATCATTGACTCAGGAGGCTGTGTGATCTTCATTAGACAACAGATCAACATCTGGACCACTTTTGTTGAGATGACACCAATTGTCTTTATACTGTTTGTGTGTGTTAAGAGAAGCGGAGGGTTTTACCTTGACGTACAAAAGAGGGAGTCCAGAGACCCCAATAATACATGTTAAGGGTCCTTGTATGAGGGTCCTGTAAAGTAATGAAATGGTGTAGTGCACTGTACGTGTTGATAATTAATTTAGACTGGCATGAGTCACTGATCATGTGGACAGTGGTCATGATTGATGGTTGAAATAACAGACACCCATAACTGCTCTTGACGAGGTGTAGTTACAATGAATGTTATTGTGCGTCCTTTGGGACGCTGTATATTCTTTTCTGCATACATTCTCTATGTTTGTGCGTACTGGACACACAGTTATGCATCGCGTAAAACCCTGTAAGAGCGACCTGGTGTTAGTATGATTTCTTGTATGACGCAGAACGTTAACACCCCCTGTACCCTACCCCCCCCTGCAGAATTAAAAAAATATTAATTTGTCCCGTCAACATTAAAAATCATTTTGACAATATGATTTATTTCAAACTACATTTTGTATATCGCATTGAAAGAAATGCTGATATGAAACAGTCTTCAGCCCATTTTCAATACAATACAGAAACAATACAGTATTTTTAACCTGTAGTGTCAAGCCAAAGTTACTGTTTAGGACAAGAACCAGAGACACTAGACTTTTTTCTATTTCCATGTATCAAACCAATTAAATATCAAAGCACCTAAAATCCTGTTGAGAACACTTTACTTATCATTTTATTTTGACCTACATCCCAATTTTTTCACAAATGTAATCCATACTATTCCCCAAAGTTTCCCAATATTGTCCGATCATTTATTTGCACAAAACAAGAGCCCTGTAAGTTGAAACACGTCAGGAAATATGAAAATATATAGTAGGAACAGTGCTTGACTTATTTATCCGGTGTCTATCTCAGTATCTTCATCAAATATTTCATAAACTAATTTGTTCTTCTTTGGGGGTAAAATTTCATTTTTATGATTTTCATAATTATGATGTTACCATATCAATTGTCATATGTTTTACGAAAAAATATATAAATATATTCCAAATAACTGTCAACACTTGGATAATTCTATTCCTTATTGTCCTCTTTACTTGTGGTAGGTACAGTGTGTATTTAACCACCAGTAACCCCTTGCCAGGTGTCCCCCTCCCCAGGTCGAGGGGGTCAACAGCCAGCCCTGGACAGTAGTGACCCATGTGGCAGATGAGTGTGGCTCCAGGCATTGTGTTGTTTGGATCCAGGACATCTTTGTACTAAGTGTTTAGCTAAAGAGGTTCAACATCTCTCTTAGTAAACAACACTTTGGGGCTCTGCATGGGGTGCCTTGATGGACGACTTCTTTAATTAATCACTTAGAGCACACTATTTCAGACAAAGCATGGATAAGACCATTTTGAGAGAACCATCAAGATTTGAAGTATGAGACTTTGTGGTTTTGACAATCTTAAGTTAATGAAAATCTGCATAAATAAATTCATCACAATAAAACATTACTATACTTTCTTTTTCTTTCTTTGTTGTTTAACGCCACACTCAGCAATATTCCAGCTATATGACGACGATCTGTACATAACTGAGACCAGACAATCCAGTGATTGACATCATGAGCATCAATCTATGCAATTGGGATAGAATAACATGCATCTACCCAGTCACCAAGTCTAACCACTCAATCCTCTTATGACAAGAATAGTTGCCTTTTTTTCGGCATGGATGGGTTGCTGAAGACCTATTCTAACCTGGAGTCTCAATTATCCGCCAAAACAGATTCCATTGTCAAAAAGTCAAAATAGTGGTGAAAAATAACGTGAATGGATCACTGAAAATCAGTGATGACACCAGGTGTTCGCAAACAGAGACAATGAGCAAACAGAGAAACAAAGAAAACTGTATGAAATGTCAACCCTACAAGGAAACCTACCTATTGTGATGTCAATGTAAGATAATCAGCTGTTTACTTCCTGTACAGTGAGTGAGTGAGTGAGTGAGTGTGTGAGTGAGCGAGCAAACAATCTTTGCTTAACGCTGAATCGGCAGTTTTAAAGGTATCCATGGTGACCTGTACAATGAATGATGTCATGTATTGTTCTCAACAATGGAGCAATGGGACATCCATACTTCTACTAACCAATCACCACTGAGAATCACTGCAAAGAATATGTGAAAATATGGAAAGTTGTTACACTCAACACTTTGGGTAACATCATAATTAGATGAGGTCTATTCAATACTTGTTTTGACCCGTGAAGATCCAGGGTAGAATAGGTCTACAGCAACCCATGCTTGCCGTAAAAGGCTGCTATGCTTATAGTAAGAGGGGACTAACGGGATCGGGTGGTCAGGCTAAACAACAAACAAACAATACTAGCTTTAATAATGAGTATAACATAAATTTAGCAAACACATTCTACAAATATTCTGTTGGTCTGGTAGACTTAAAGAAAAAAAATGTAATTTTACCGACCCCCTTCTTGAACCCCACTCACCATGCTGACAGACCTGTTGCCTGTCCAAGGCCTTGGATGTTACAGCGTTTCTGATTGGTTGATACTGACTTGCCCATCATTGTTTGAGAGGCGTCCATACACTCATTAACCTCATCGTGACACCTCACTAGGCTCATTACAATATCCTGATGTCAAGTGATTCCACACACAGATGGGAACTTCTGGAATGACAAAAAATGCATTTAGCCAAACTGAGAAATGTCTTTTTCTTCTCAGAACACATGTCTCTGAATAGACATGCAACGTTTTACAATGGGATGGGTTGGGGTGTTGCTTATAATTCCAATGTGGTATTTTATTTGTTAGCCAAATTGCCATTCAGCTGCATTTTATGAAGTTTTGCCTGGGTGGAAAGGAAATTGTGACAAATTGTTGACGTAAAAGGTGACCTTAATGTTTGTAAAGCTGCACTTTGCTTATCTGATTTCATTTTATTACAACAGGTATATTATGACCTTTAGAAACATTGTATATTGAATATTTTTTTACATCAAAGAATTGTCATGTTTGGTTATCAATCTAACAACACAATTATTTCAACTTATTTCACATGAGTGAGTGAGTGAGTGAGTGAGTGAGTGAGTGAGGTTTAACACCGCTTTTAACAATATTCCAGTTATATCACGACGTGTCAGCTTGATGTAGGAGGAAAGACCGAAATCTCAAACCGTTTCCCACTTTGGTGAAACCCATAAGCATAGTACGGTGCTGACAAACCTAGAAACAATCCGTGTGAACCGGGATGACTTTCTTTTGTGATCACTTTGAGCAGAACTTCACATAAATAAAATGTCAGCTTCATGGAAGGACAACCCATAGTCACAGTCCTAGATATTGACCACCTTGGCGAAACACCAGGGTTTAATTTTAAGGATGGTAAATTAAATTCAACATGAATTAGGGTGAAAATGTTTTACTTCATGCAAGCCATACTAACACTTAGTCACAGAGAGTTTGTTGGTTACTTTTATTAGTTACATGGTACTGTGCCTCACATCCCAAACCAGAAATCATATCAACGCAAATCTGGACATTGGTAGCCTGACATATAGTCACAGAAACAAAGCTATCTCATCTAAAAATATGTACCTACAAAATAAAATAATAAAATCCAAATGGAGCCCAGGATGGTTAATTTCAGACTTGCCAAATCTAGACTTTAGTTGGACTCCTTTTTAATAAATTCTCAAGGATCTGGGAGACAGACTACATACAAGCCAGTGGACTAATATATACTACTCAAAAGATGTTAAGGAACACCTGATTCTTTCATATGACCATAGTTAATCTGACATGTCATAACAGATCAACTATAATCATATGAAAGAATCAGGTGTTCTTTAACTTCTTTTGAGTTGTATATATGTAAACTGGCCCTATGACTATTTACGTTATGATACTACCACTACTGCTATCTGAAAATATAGTGTAGGGCAGCTGAACCAGTGGTCAACATCATGAGCATCTATTGACGACACACAGGAAGTCAAGTCACACATTATAATATGTAACCATCTGATCCACATTGAGCCACATTGAGCCACATTGATCCCTGAACTTTTTAAGTTTTGTGGTGACCACGGAAATGTCTGCTGTCAATATTGGCACTAATACAAAACATCACCACCTTCTGAAAGGGCTTCAACACTCACCAATCGTACGTCCTTGAGGAGGCAACTTCCCAGATAACATATTCCAAACAACTGACAACTTCGTAAGCGTGGGTTTTCTTTTTGCATCTTCGCAACCATCATCAAACACTATATGACAATGATAGTGACAAAAAATACCTTATTGATCCGCAGAGTCCTGATTTGCACGATCTGGTTTAACAATCAGCACACTTCTGCACGTGTTGATCGTGCAGCGACCGTGTCTTTTCGCTTTATTCCGTAATTGACGAGTGAAGCAGTTTTCCGGACCAAACCTTATATAAAATAGTTTGGGGATTAACCTGTTTCAACTGTAAAAGCCTCTTCGGCTTAATTACTCGCCCACCGCTGAATAACAAATCAGGATTCATCCATTTATAGTTGTGTAGCATTTTGCGGCATTTACACAGATAATCTAAACTTTAGTGTAGTCTTCCGAACAATTAGATATTAGAAACGTGTTACTTTACCTGTAGCAGAGACCATAAAATGTATTTATTGTATCGTCTTTGCCTGTAGTATTGCTGACCTCTGATCATAACCGTAGAAAGTATGAGGCGCCGTTTTGCTTTATAATCCGTATTTATATTTAAAAAGTTTAGTAATTAGAGATTTTGATATTAATAAATAAATTATTGATATTATAAAACACAGAATGAATGCCAAAACGGCGCTATAGAACTATGTCTGCTGAGTTTAGAACCATATATGCGTCTAACCTAAAGTCAGGTACATACATTTTGTAATGCTTAGGACCAAATACTATTAATCATATTTTAGTGGACTTACTATTAAACAACAATTATCTGTATAAATAACAAGCACCCAAATAATTACCCAAATTACAATTAGCAAGTCCGTGTGTTTGTTGTTGTTGTTATTGTTGTTTAACGCAACACTGAGCAATATATGACGGCGGTCTGTAAATAATCGTGTGTGGACGGCACAATCCAGTGATTGACATCATGAACATTTATATATGCAAATGAGATGCGATGACATGCATCAATCGAGTTACCGAAACCGACCACCCGATCCCGTTGGTGGGCTCTTTCGATAAACAGGTTGCTGAAGACCTATTCCTACCTAGAATACGGGTTACAACTAGCAAGTGTGTCCTTGTCGTGAATGTTGCCATGTTGGAACCGATGTCTTGAACTGTCTTGGAGCTTGCTCGGTTTGTTCCAAACCATAACAAATCCTATAAACCCTATTTACAACGAACATTTCCAAATAATTGCGTGTTTTCTGTTTCGAGCTAAATAGATCTGGTTATTCGCAGAAATTGGTATGAGGGTTATTATGATGAGCGGGTGATCTGAACAGTTATCCAGTTATATCACGGCGTGTCAGCTTAGTGGGGAAGACCGCCTCCGTGGTCTAGTGGTAGAGCGTCCACCCGGAGAGCAGAAGGTCAGGGGTTCGATCCCCGGCCGCTTCATACCAAAAGACGTTAAAAGATGGTACTTGTTGTTACCCTGTCTGGCGCTCGGCATTAAGGACCTAAAACAAGGACTGGTCGGCTCGGAGTCAGTATACTGTGTCTGAGTGGGGTATTCATGTTAAACTGCGGCATGGTATCTCAGTGAGCTACCACTATAAATCGGCATCAGTCCGGACTAGTACAAGCAGCCACACACACACACACACACACACACACACACACACACACGTGCATTCACGTCGCTATATAAGCTCAATAATCTTGGACGCGACGTTAAACCCAATTTCACCTCACCTCACCTTAGTGTGGAAGAATAAAATAAAATACATATCTCAAGCGTTTACCACTTTGGTGGAACCTACCAGTATAGGTATGATGCTGACAAACCTAGACACATAATCGGGTTGAACCGAGATTCGAACCCACGGTCACAGGTTTCTGGCGTGCCCAAGGGACGCAACCCTGCACAGCAAATTGCGCCTTAGTCGACTGGGTCACCCATGTCCCCTGTAATTATGCTAAAGGTAATCGCGTTAAGGGTAATTATGAATAGGGCAACTTTCCTATAGAATCAATCTTCCTCCATTGGAGGTAACGCCCGATCTTCACGCTGAGAGGTATCGTACTGAATAGAAGATGAGACCGTAAAAACATGAAAGAGGTTTTCTGAGAATTTATAATATAACATTTTGTAATGTGTGAGAAAGATTTTGCGTCTCGATTTAGTGTAATATTCTAGAAACTTGATTTCGGCTCTTCGCACATTGTACCTATATTGGGAATCGAACATACATCTTCAGAAATGCAAAATACATCTTCAGAAATGCAAAAAGCTTTATCCACTTGGTCATAGCTACGGCACCAAAATATGAAACGTCAATGTCAGAGAACAGCCAGTCTCGAAAAGCCTATCCGCGGAAACAGATTTCAGTGGGTGTTTAAGTCAGAATAGCGGTGACAATTATATGAATGGATCACTGAAACACAATGATGACACTAAAACGCTGCGTAGTGGCCAAATAGACCCGCGACAGCAGCCCATGCTTGCCGTAAAGGGCGACGAGGCTTGTCGTAAGAGGCTACTAACGGGATCGGGTGGACAGGCTCGCTGACTTGGTTTGATGCATGTCATTGTATCCCAATTGCGTTGATCGATGCTCATGATGTCAGTCACTGGAATGTCTGGTCAAGACTCGATTATCTACAGACCGTCGTCATGTAGCAGGAATATTGCTGAGTGCGGCGTTAAACAACAAACAAACAAACAGTAGCCAAATAACACACGAACATTCCACATGGTAAGTGAGATGACTTTAACGTAGCAATATTCCAGCAAATCTCACGGCGAGTGTTCACCATCTTTGCATGCTAGAGTATGAGCCATTTTAATTATTTTGATACAAGAATGAGTCATTTTGGCTAAACGCCGTTTTAACAATATATTCCTGTCGTTTTATTTCGGGGATAAGTCCACACCCGTGTGGGAATTGAATGCGGGTTTCGTGACTTGCGAACGCTTTAACCCCTAGGCTACCCCAAACGCCATATACTCATAGGGCTTCTGAATGGCCATACGTCACGAATAATGGGCAATATACCAAACAATTCCGTGAGTGAATATGGTTTACGAAGGCTATCATACTCTCACAATCTGTAGCCTGTTGTATTTAAGACGTGTTTCGTTTCCTGAGTCAACTACAATCAACAGACATGATACATTTGTGCCTTCTGTAGAAAGGTAATGAAAGAATATGTAGCAAAGCTTTCAGACTTGTTTTCAAGAATCGACGATTGATATTGATAAGGAATAATGTTGTAACATGTTCTACACCCTCACAAATTACGTCATAGGGTATTGTGACGTGATTGTAAACTTTGAGGCGCAGGGCCCCGGTCAACAAGACGATCGTAGGGCAACGATCAGTTGGTTTCTCCGTAGGGTTGACATTTCATACGTTTTTTCCTTCGTTTTCTCTCATCGAATGTCAACGAGTAAGAAATAGAATAACATACTCGAAACTCAGAATTACAGATTATCTGTGTCCCGGGTGAATAAATGGTGTCG